CAGTGGAACTGAAGAAGAATAATATACCCCATCCTGAAAAATAGTGATCCTCTGAACTGTAAAAACTATAGGGCCATTCCATTGCTCTCAACAATATATATGATATTGCTTCCTCACTACCGAAGGTAGGGAAACATTGTGTTCGTGCGAGAGATTAAAAAAAATTTTTGCTCAGAATCGAAAATTTTCACTCGCGTTTTACGTTTCAGACATCCAGGATCAAATTTGGTTCGGTGTCTGTCGCGATATCTCTACTAATAGTGCTTCAATTTCGCTGAAACTTTCTTCATTTTTTAGGAAATTCGAATAGCTTTGAAACATCTTATCACAATATTCACAAAAATGTGTATACTTCTTGAGTTATTCGGAATTTAATTTTACCATCCCTCGTAACTTTTTTTTGAGCTTCTTTTCGTTGAAATATGTTATATAGATAAATTTAAAGGGCGTAGAGAAAATGACTTTAGCGAAGTTTCATTAAAATCGGTACATTCGTTTAGGCGCTACAGTCTATAGCAATGCAGGTTTTTCGGCCGCCATTTTTAAACGAGAAGGCGAATAGTAATGTCGTTGAAGGAGGATCATCCTCTGGTGACCTCCGATTTTATATCCAAATTCGAAAAAAATCGGTCCAGGGCAATGCGCGGACGGCGGACAGCGGACTAGTAGTGCATATATAAGAGAAAGTGGTGGACAGAATTCAATAAAATTGACCCTACGTTATTTTTTCACCAAAGTCTACCTTTTATCTAACTTTCAGCCAAATCGAACAAGCCCTTTCTGAAATATTGGCATATCTAAAAATATACGTTTGCGCCTGCGTAAGCGGAAGTGCTGGATGGAATTTTATAAAATTGATATGGGACCATCTAGACACCAATCAGCATAATCCCTGAAAATTTCATGAAGATAGTTTGAACGGTACTAGGTGATATGCCCGTCACATCGATTTGACTACGGACAGACAGACAGACAGAGAGACAGACAGACGGACGGACAGACAGACAGACACCTAACCAAATTTGATCCTTGATGTCTGAAACGTAAAACGAGAGTAAAAATTTTCGATTCTGAGGAAAAATTTTTTTTTAATCTCTTCGAACACAATGCTTCCCTACCTTCGGTAGTGAGGAAGCAATATCATATATATTGTTGAGAGCAATGGAATGGCCCTACAGTTTTTACAGTTCAGAGGATCATTCTTTTTCAGGATGGGGTATATTCTTCTTCTTCAGTTCCACTGTGCCTGTTTCAAAGTATAAGTAATTAAACTATTAATACATGTTTCCGATGATATCATGTAGGTATATCTAGTTGTAGCATAATATAGATAGTTCTGAAATATAATTGTTTGGAAATAATATACCATAGTGAAAAACTTGCAGTGGATTTTTTTTCAAATTAATTATCGTTATATATATATATATATATATATATATATATATATATATATATATATATATATATATATATATATATATATATATATGACTGAAGGGCTGAAGCCCCTCCCCCAAAATTAAATCTGGATTCGGTAGTGTATATCACTATTATCAGCAAAAGTTCGAATGTAAAAATTTTCAACTTTAATTCTATGTGTATTAATGGTGACATTTTGTAGTCTGCAACTAATATAAGTAGTCTGCTACTATGGAAAATAGCAGATAACAATAAAATATGAAATTATTCTAATAAAGCATAAAGAAACAATGGGTTTTTACGCACTCTTGTAAAACAATAAATAAATTTTTACGTAAGACCTTTTGCACTAAGAGTATTGAAATTCATGTTCAGTACGCATTTATTTTTATTTTTTTATTTTTTATTAAGCATAATCAAGTATGGAATCTTCAAATAAGACACTCTTTTGTTGAATGTTGAAGGGTAACTGTAATCGGCTATTCCGATTCTGCTTCTCTCAGAGATTCTATTCTCATACGAAAAATTGTATACCTTGTAATATAGAACGGAAACGGTGAGGAAGCTATACTGACCTTACTTGGCAGACGTTTTTTTAACACCCTCAATAACAAGAAAAATACGTCTTTTTGCGGAGAGAATGGTTAGGCAGTATCAGTGGCTTCTCCAGTAAGAGTGGCTTTACTTGAGGAAAGTCCACCGTTGAACAGTTGATTTTAAGACAGATCCTGGAGAAAATGCAAGAATTCAGCTCCGATACATATGCGCTTTCAGTAAACTTCCGTGTGGTGTATAATAGTATATGGCGAGAAAAATTATATATAAAAATGGAAATACTTGAAATTCCAACAAAGCTGATAAGATTGGTTAGGGCAACTATGACGGACACCAGCTGCCACATAAGAGTGCAAGAAGATTTGTCAAATAAATTCAAGTGTGAACGAGGTTTGAGACAAGATGATACTCTAGTGTGCACTCTCTTTAATCTATCTGTATAAAGCGAAAATCAACGTGAGAGATGCAAATATACAAACAACGGCCACTTTATATATAAAAAGGACTCAAATACTAGCTCACGGAGATGATATATGTATTAATGGAAAATCCTTGACACTTGTAGCTCGTTAGAGGCAACAACGGTGAAGATGGGACTTGAGGTCAACGAGGAAAAGGACAAGTATATGACAAATGACAGACGTTAAATTGGGCCAACTATGGCTAAATACAACTTCGAAAAAGTAATATATAGTTCAAATTTTTAGGATCGGTAGTGACTGCGGATAATGACATGAGCCAGGAGGTGAAGCAGACTTATTGCCGTAAACATATGTTACCATGATCTACTGAAGTATACGAAAAGCCTTTCATTGCTACGATCAACTAAGTCTCTCCTGTACAAATTCCTCATTCAAAAACATAGATGGAGTTACGAGGTTTTTATTGCCTACCACCGATATAATAAACAGGGTTTATCTCATTTTAATGGTATTAATCAGTTCTTAGCTGTAAGGTTTAAGTTTTAGCTCTGTTAAAAATGGACTTCAAAAATTATATCATAGCCCAATATTGCCAGAAAATAATCTCAATTCAAAGTAAAGCTATAAGTGAAAGTTGTGTAATGCGTACACCAGGTTTTTGTTTAAAGTGAAAACTTCTTTAGGCGCGTTTTACACTTTTTATGTGGAGAGTGAATTATTGGATTGTCCAGAAAATAATGCAGGATTTTGAGTTTTCTTTAAAACACCATTTTAAAAAGATCTGGTGCGCACAACACATAACTTTCACTTACCGCTCAACTTATTAATAGAAATTATTTTCTGGCCATGTTGGACTATTATAAAATTGTTGAATTATATTTTTAACCGAGCTAAAGCTAAAAAAATACATATAACAAATCATAAATGTCATTAAAATAAATAAATTAAAAAGTCCATTTGTTTATATCAACAATCGATGATGGATTGTACGATCCGTTGATTATGGATGACTATTGGTTATTAAACTGTTATTTTGCATTGCAAAGTTTACTAAAATGGAATTAAGATATTTGCATTGTCTGTCATAGACAGGTCAAAAGTTGTCACACTAATTGTAAGTGGATACTTTTGGAATATCACAAAAGGAAATTTCATTCAAGTATTCTCTAATTTAATTTTCTAAAAGGTTACATGATGATTTTCCGGAATAAACGGACGATAGATACCTAAATATTTAAATATAACATCAGATCTACAGTTATTAAACTACAGTAAATATATTTAAGGTTATAAACGTATCTATGAAATATTTTTAGATTTCACTTCTTCTTTCACACAAGTACAATGAAATAGTAGTGGATACTGTTGGAATATCACAAAGGGGAGATTCATCAAATTATTCAGTAATTTAATTTTCTAAGAGTTACATGACAATATTTGGGAATAAACGGAGGTTGATACCTAATTATTTAAATATAATATCAGATCTAGAATTATTAAATTACAGTAAATGTATTTAAGGTTATAAATAGTACATATAAAGTCTTTGGACTTTGTTTACACTATTATTATTGATTTTACATTTTACCTGCATATTAAGTTGTTGGCAATCACATTTTCGGGACTAACTCAATTTTTTTTTCCTTACCCTGTTATTGATGATAGTTAATTTTTTTAAGGAATATTTCAGATTTCCTGGCAAAACACTCTTTATAAATGAGGAAACAAATTTTGTCTTATTAAAAATTTATATCAATCATTTCCTGCTTGAGTATTTTCGATAACTATAAGAAAAATATTTTAGTGAGGCCAAATGCCTATAAGTTTTAAGCAGTATAACATAGTACATTAATGCATCTGGATGGTGTTTATTGCACTAGAAATTTGCCTATTTTTATTATACAAAATATTCTAAAGTTCAATCTATTATTGACTGCCTTGAAATTGAGCAGCCATTTAATCTATGCTTATTTACTTGGAGTCCATATAAACATTGCAATACCAAAATTTGACAAATTCGCCTTCACATCCATGACTTCAAATAAGAGTCTATAAATAAAAACAGACTTAAATAATAGCGATGACCCAAGTAGGGTAACACTTAGTTTGTAGTGATTGGAAACTGTGGTGTCATGTTAACTGTATGCTTAGTTATTAACTTGAAAAGCTTAAAATAAAATTAAGTAACAAATAAATTTATGATCCAAAAGTTGTTTAGTTAAAATCTGTAATATATGCATAAACCCCATTCCCATCCATGTCAAAGTAAAAGGAAAAATTGTTCTCTATACGCCATAAATTCACTGCAAAAATACTTTACGTTTTATATTAATTTGTAAAATATAAAAGAAATTCTTAGGAAAACAAAAAATAAATTAGATGGAAACTATAAAAATTCTAAATGGTCCAGATTACAAAAATCTATATTTTTATTTTAAAATAATCTCAAATTTCTTGGAGTTGTAAAATCAAATTCTGTAACCTGACTATAAATAGCACTAAGTCAAATGCCATTCACTTCACTATTTTATTCAACTATTATTCTAAGCCATAGTGTTTAAGGCAGTCCATTTAACATATCTTGAAATGCAAAGTATAACTTACAAACAAAGATGATTTATTTTTCTTATAGTCTTCTAATTGCTTTTCAAGAAATCGTGTGCGTTCTTTTGCATTTTCTAAAGGCTTTACTAATGTGTTATTTTCCATCTTTAATTTTGCTATCAAATTTTTCATTTTTCCATTTTCTTGTTTTAATTCTATCAGTTCCTCCTAAAACATGGTTATGATTTTGTTAACTTGAATTTGGAACGACCATCCTTACTAATAAAATATTTCATCAGCCAATGATATCTTTTAAGTATTACAGCTTCAATAAAACTATTATTAATTTGAGTAAAAATAATAATAATTTCAATTCAACAAGATAAAATATCATGTTGTTATAGATTATCTAATGAAGTTGATTTGTCCTTGTTTTATATTAGCTAAAATTTGTCAAAACTAGATTTACTGACTGAAATGAATAACTGTTTTCTGAACTATTAATTATTGATGAAGCCATTAAAATTAAGGATAATGAATTGAATAAATAAACTATAAAAGCCAAACAATCCATCCCAACAATTGGGTTTGCGTAGAGAGAAATTTTTTCTCCGAAGTAGACAGATTAAAAAACTTCGACTCAACAATAACTTCAATTAATGACCAACTACCTGAGATAGAGAAGTACATAACAAGCACAAACAGAAATTCTTATTTCTATCAAGGGGACCAATTCCAAAAAATGTCTAGAAATATAAAATTAAAGATGTATGATCCTCTGATGAAACCAGTGCTGATATAGGACTGTGAGACCTGGACACAAACCAGCACCCTAGAAAGAAGATTTGAAAGATTTAAGAAGAAAGTATTCCACACGATAACCAAAGAATTCTGAGATAAGAATAACAACACATGGAGGAGAAATATACATAATGAAATGTCTATAGAAAGAGGCCAGTTCCAGGGATTGGAACTTTTTTAACAGTTTCAACATAACTTTTTATAAAAAATGTTTTTAAAATAAAAGTTCTAAGGAGCTTTTTAAAAATCAAGTTCTAGATTTTAAGTAAAATTTTAAATTTTATTTATTTAAGATCTTTAAAAAATAAACAGTAATTAGACTTGGGTTTGAGTTATAATTTATCCTAAAAGAATTAGTTGATTCTAATGTGTCATTTAGCTGAGTAGCTAAGAATAGAAGTCACTATGTAGATTGACCTTTTGGCTAAATCAACAGGCATATTATACCTATGTTTTTAAATTTAAACGTTCTGTAAAATCTTAACTTGAAAAGTAGCAAGGGAAAACTTTCTAGTCCTGAAATGACATAAAATAAAAATTCCAGTCATACTGAAACTGATTTTTAAAAAAGTTAAAATTTCATTTCAAGCCCTAGTCAATTCTTATCTCATGATACAAAGAGGTTAAGATGGTCCAGTCATGTAGCAAAAATCCTCTCAACTTCGTCAATACAATGGATGTCACAATAATTGCCAAGAAACCAGGTGGGATGGAAGTCAAAAACTAAATGAATAAACAGCATCAACTAAGGTGTTCTAGATCTGGATATAAAATTTAATATTATTTTCAAAAAAGCTTTCTACATTTAATATATAACTGTGAAAAAACTTCAAGTTGAACTTTTTAAAAGTTTCTCAAATACTTTTTTTACCATTAAATAGTACAGGGTAGGGTTAAACCTTTTTTTTTAAATTTATATATATTTACTCTATAAAAGTATGGAAATTATTGACCGTATTTCTAATTCAACGAGACATAGGTCGGGTAGTTCTTTTCAAAAGTTATACAATATTATTATTATTATTATTATTAATTTGCTCAACAGTGATTAATAAACCTGGACCTTAGAAACAAGCTTCTTCCATGTTTCCTTATCCATGGCTGTTCTCCTCCATCCCCTTACAGCCATATCGCTAAGACCTTCGCCGTTGATTCATTACAGCTGGGTTCATTTCCTAAGGAATGACCCTCCTGGGCAGCTATAGAGAAGTTTCCTTGGCAACTTATCTTCCTCTCTCCTTTCTACATGGCCTGAGGCAACATGGAAAAGGAGGAGGAATAGAATTGGTAAGAGTTGCTAGGAAGGAAAAGGTATTAAGGTCAATGAAATGTTGCCCCTTAAGTCCCTTTTTACAACAAGCTGTAAAATACTGTGGGCTTATCCCATTATTCCCTCACTCACAAGGAGTGGAATAAATTTATTTACCACTTATTATATGTTTGACTTTACCTGATTAACTTCTTCTTGTATTAATTTTAAACTTCATCCAACCTCAATGAAATCAATTATGAACAACATCCTGCCTATCTATGTATGGTATTAACTCCAGAAATCCAAGATCCATTAACTCCGTAGATGGAAAGTATGTTCTGATCTAACCGAGGCTCAGATCAAGTCTTTCTTTTTATTCATACTCAGAAGATCCTTCCTAGATTCTTTTTATGAAATTCCTTTCAATCCTTCCTATCCCTATCTTTTCTAGTGGGGGATGGAGATTTTTCTTATTAATCACTAGCCTTCTTGGAGGAAGACCTGTCCATCTCTATTTCCAAAAAAAAAAAATTATATTACGCTTATTCCTGAGATATTATTAACTTTCTCTACTATTTTTTATGTTAATCTAAAATATTTTGCAGAGTGAATCTTCCAGGTGTTCTTCCTGTTATTATATTTCAACAGACCTATGACACTGCTATCTGGGTTGTCTCCTGATCTAATTTGCCTTATATATAAAAAATTTAAAATTAGCAGTTAAAAAGGTTTTCTTCAGTAGTGTTTTTTTTTTCTTGATTAGGCAGACATCCCCCTCATCTCCCCAAGGCTGCTCCCTTTGCAATCATATCATTTAACACCGCTTGATATATTGCACAATCTTAGGTTTTTTTATTTCAAAAGTGACAAATACTTTATAGATCCCTTGAATTGGTGGATAGTGGTTAATGAAATTCACATTCAGTAAGCATAATATTTAGTTAATAATAAATAAAATATCAGATGTATTTATTATTCAAATGATTTCCAGCCAAAGATCAGCAATATTCTGTTTCTTTGACACATTTTTATTATTGCTGATCCTGCAGCTTCAAGAGCCATTTTTAAATACATGACTCCAAACTATTATGCATCCTAACTACATTTGTCTCATTTTTAACAAAAAATACTTCTAATGCATGGTCAATTTTCTTTTTCAGCAAATTTCATTGATATTACGGGTCTGTTGAGTGAGTACTCATGTCTGATTTGCTCAACTTTTTTGAGGGGGGTTTTATCTGATGGATACTGATACATGCCACAGGGATGGACAACCCCTCCCCCCCCCCCAGACATTTCATCAAATTCTGTATGACTGCTCTATTTTTTATAGTAAACGGTATTATCTAATAAGAAGCATAGTTCTCAAAGGTGATAAATGGCCACTAAGAGAAAACGATATTTTCAAGAAATACAGTAAGAAAATTAGTTATGAAGTTCATCTTCAACTCCCCCAAGAAGACTGTAGTGATTAATAATTTATTGTAGTTATGTTTTAATTATGTTTTCACTGTTTTTTTGTAATTATTTTATGTATTCTTGATTTTTTTTTTTTTTATATTTATGATTCCTTAGGAAAAAAAGAACTTTATATTATAATTATTATCATGCAATTTATTAGTTTTATTAGAACTGTAATGCTTCCTTTAATCGATACAGGTATTATGTACAATGCATGAAATATATAAAAATTAACAATACACGGCAATCGTACAGGATTACTGTACGAGGGAAGGAGATAAAAAAAATATATATTCTATAATTTATTTTCTAAAAAAAAACTTTAAAAATAAATAATAAAAACTTCAAAAAATAAAAACAGAGCAATCACAAACATGAATAGAGCTCATTATATTCAGGAAGATATCAAGAACAATGAGTCTGGAATAAGTATCATTCATTAGTTATTGGTCTTATTACAGGCTTAAATTAAATCATTGCAATTAAAATAAGCAACTAATACCATCAAATAAGTGTGTAGAAATAACTTACTTTCATATCTGATATTAAAGCTAAATTGTTATCTGTTATTTCCTTATAGTAAATTTTCATTTCCGCTAAATCTTTCACATGGTTTTCTTCTAACTTATGAATGACATCATTTTTGTTTTCAACTATTTGTGTGATTTCCATTTTATTTTTTGTTTCATAATAGGTTTTTATTTTTTGTAATCTCTTCTCTGCCTTTATTGACATCTCCTCTATTTTTTTCATAAATTCATCTCTAATACCAAATAGTTCTTCACCATGTTTCTATGAACAAATTCACTTTTGAAAATGATAAACATATTTATTTGAATTTCATGAGATATTAAATGTTTGGATCACATGAATATAAATTTTGAGGACATCATTGGTAAAATATAAGCAAATACCATAACAATATATTTCTGAATAAATTAGTAATTTTTTATTAATTTGGTACTTCAATCTTCATTTGTTTACTATATTCAATTGATTTTCAGTAGCTTAATATGTTTAAGGATACTAAAATTAAAAAACAAACAACTTTAGACTTAAATTTAAATTTTTAAAATTTTGACTTTATTTAAAAATTTAAACAAAGCTATTAATTTCAAGACAGACTCATGAAATATAAATTAACCTTATGTAGAATCACTTAATAAGCTAAGTAAATAATACATGCAAGATGTCCGGTTATCGAGACTGGGCCTCCTCCAAGAGCCTCCGCCAGTTGACTGTCTTCTGTTGCAGCTCTCCAGTCCCGTATGCCAAGTAGGGTTCTTGCATCATAGGCCACGCTGTCCAGCCATCTCGTCCTCGGCCTTCCAAACCCATCTTGCGAGGTGCAGCTCCTCAATCATAACTTTTTTGGGTATTTCAAAGGCACTCATTCTGGCCACATGCCCTGCCCACCTTAGTCTGGCAAGTTTAATGTACGTGACTACGTCGATGTCTGTATGAAGAGAACTAAGCTCCCTATTTTTCTTTTCCTCCAGGCATCACTCTCTTTTACTGGACCAGAGATCCTTCTGAGGACTCCTCGCTCGAACACACTCAGCTTCATCTCATCACTTTTCGTCATTGTCCAAGCCTCTGAGCCATATGTCAAAACAGGCCATGCAAGGGTATTGTATATAATCAGCTTAGTCTTCTTTGAAAGATACCTACTTCTACAGTGTAGTTGTGTTCTATCAATGCTGTTGTATGCTGCTTTAAAGTCCACGAAAAAATGGTGGATGACTACCTTACACTCCATACTCTTTTCTAGAATCATCCTGAGGGAGAACAGTTGATCAGTGGTTGAGCGCCCTCGTTGAAATCCAGCCTGATATTTCCCTGTTTCCTTTTCAGCATATGGGAAAATCTTCTAGAGAGCAGCTTACAAGCACACGAAAGGAGTGAGATTCCTCTATAGTTAGTGCATTCTGTTTTATCTTTCTTATGTATTGGACAGATAATGGCTGTTGCCCATTCCGTAGGAATAGCTTCCCTCCCCCAGATGGTCAGCATTACGTCATGCAGAGCTTTCTTGAATTCTTCACCGCCACATTTCAACAGCTCTGACTGAATTCCGTCCGGACCCGGCGCCTTTCCATTTCATCCTCATCCGAGGGTTACATAGAATTCATCGAGTCTTCCTTCATTATCCCTGATTCTCCAGGCACCGTTCCTCTGTTTAATGTGTCTTTGAAATATTGAACCCATCTCTTTAGTACGTCATCTTTGTGGCTTAAAAGAGTTCCATCCGTGTCTTTGCATGCCGTCACTCTGGGCTTGAAAGCTGCCCTACCCTCATTTATTCTCTGAAAGAACAGCTGAGTTTCATTTTGGCCACGCAATGCCTCTGTGTTCTCCATGTTCTTATTTTCCCAAGCTGTTATTATTTTCTTTTCACTGGAATAATCTTTTATCTTACCGTATTTTTCTTCAATATGTTTCTTGGGAGAGCCTTGTGGGATACTGGCCCTTCTTTCTGTAGGCTTTGTTTACACTTTTACTGCTTGAAGGCACTCAGCATCAAACCATGGAGTCCTTCTAGATTTAGTCTCGTAGCCAAGAGATTCTTCTGCTGCCTGTTTGATTGCGTTGCTGCATCTCTTCCACTGTTCATCGACCATAGAGCTGTCATTAATTACTTCTTCATTAAGTTTCCTCTCCACAGCTTGTTGATACGAATATTGGTGGTTGGGGTCTTTTAGTTTAGCTATATCAATCTTCTTCTTTGGTCATTGGTGGTGGTTTTTAACTAGCGAAATTTGTGATCTCACCTCCGCAATGCTCAAATAGTTGTCTGTGTCCATATTTGCACCTCTATAAGATCTTGCATTTATCATGTTGGAATTGTGACAGACACTAATGAATACATGGTCTATCTGTGATGTTGTTTGTCCATTGGGGGAGATCCATGGTGCTTTGTGGATATTCTTTCGAGGAAAAAAAGTTGTTCCAACAAGCAGTCCTTGCGATGCAGCAAAGTTCACCATCCAGAACCCATTATCATTACTGGTTGCATGCAAGCTGTAGGTTCCATTGGTCGGCATGAGTGCCATCTCCTTACCGACTTGAGCCCACTACCCCCGAATCAGGTAGAGAGGCTGCCTCCTCTGAGCCTCCTGATTGGCTCCCCCATCCGGGACAGCTACCTAGGGGAGGTGACCCTAGGAGGGTGTGTAATGTAGGTGACCTTTGTCTGTAGTGTTTGGGTTTGTAGTGCGCTGTATAATGTTTACTTGGTGTGTGAGTGTTCGCGTAAGTGTTCCCCCAACCTGGAGGGCCAGTGGCTGGTTGCAGTACAATGACTGGGCGCTGGGACCGCCACTTCTCTACGCCAAAAAGTAAATAATACACCTTATTTATTTGTAATAGGGTGTATACAAAAATGATGACCATTTTTCAACCACATATTTGTTTTATTATTTCTTTAATATAAAATACAATTAATCCTCAAAGTATACTCCATTGATATCTTCTACAGTCATTAGCCTTCTGCTACCCAACTGCTCGATCACACACTGACACCATTCTTTGGGATGGCTGTTGAAGAACTCTTGGACCGCAATTTCAACTTCCTCAAAATTATCAAATTGTTTTCCTTGAAGAAAATGGGTCATAGATCTAACTAAGTAGTAATCTGATGGTGCGAGGTCTGGACTATATAGTGGATGAGGCAGGAGTTCAAACCCATGTAGTTCTTTAAACTTTTCTTTGGTTCCACAGGAAGTGTGAGGATGAGCACTATCTTGTTGGAATAAAATTCCTTTTCTGTTGATCAAGGCAGGATAACGCTCTGACAACTTTGCAATACAATCTTCAGAGTTGTTCGCATTAGAGTTCAGAATTCATGGAGCATCCTTCAGGAACAAATTCATGATGTATAACACCTTCAAAATTTCAAGATTTTTTTTTTTAAATTGCTCCCTTGCAGCAACCGGAAAAGCAGTTTGACCGCAATCTAGCCATTGCTCACAGGTATTCAGATTTCGCAAGTAAACCCACTTTTCATCACAGGTGACTATCTTCTGGTAAAATCTCATATTAGAAGAGTTATTCAATACATTTTCACAAATTTCTAATGTCTTAGCTGATTGCTGAGGAGTGAGTTCGTGAGGGACCAGTCTACTGCTCTTTTTCACCTTCCTCATGGAGAATATTTGGTGACTAACAGTATCTTTCAACACACCACATCCTTCGTATGTTCGGGAGTACTTTTGGATGGATTTGACTCAATAACTTCCTGCAGAAGCTCATCAATATCCATTAATGATTGTCTGGAGCCCTTCTTCCTTTCCAACATTGTATCTCCACTAAAAAATTTTTCAAACCAATGCCATGCAGTGCGCTGGTCAAGGACATCTTTCCCTTCATATTTAATAATTTCACGAGTTGCTTCAGTGGCTGTGAAATTTATTTTTCAGCAATACCTTAAAATTACAAGAATTTCATAGGATACTGTCATGTTTCTTCTTTGAAACAAATAACTAAACTGAGACTTTTTTTGAAGAATTTGATTGTGATTAAACAAGCTTGGAGAATGCTTTAAAGGTATTATTAAGTATTGGTAAGTATTAAATAGGATTAAAATATTTACAGTCCTTTGAAATCTTGAATTTGATAAAACAGTAATTTTGTTTTATAAAACCTATTATCATTACTAGTTATTAATAGTAGTGGTAGTATATTATTATTAATAGTATAGTATTGTGTTATAAATGGAAAAATTTATTCTACAAAGCTACAAATCTCCAAGGTGAAAATCATTCACCTGTAAATTGGAGAATCATGGCTTTATAGTATGGTTTTTCCATTTATAACATAATCACCTATGTCTCTTTTCTAGCTTTATGCTTTGTTTATTAAGTATAGTATTGTTAATACCTATTATTATTATTATTACCTAAAACTGGAGCATATTATATGTTGAAGAGGGGGACGAAATATTCCCCATAACGTACAAATTAATAAAGAATAATTTACAAATTGAGAATGATTATTTATTGAATTGGAGCTACCGGCCAAAATTAGGGAAAAGATGATTGATGAAAAAAGGTCAGAACTGGAAACTAATAAATTACTAATTATTATTATTAACTATTTCATAGATAAACGTTTTCTCCATAGATTGTCCCTAAATAATTCTTTTATTTGTACATAAATAAGGATGGTAACATTCCAGCTGTACAGCCCAGTCAGTGTCGTGAAACTATAGAATTGCTTACAAGTCCTGACTCAAAGCTTTCTCCTTCTTGTTTCCTCTGTGTTATTTTTGATTGTTTAAATCAATGTTAACTAAAGGTACTTTTTTTTTTTTTGTTTTATTGAAAGTGTTTTTTTAACTACTAAAGCAAAATGAAGAATTAGGTTATTGTGGGCTTGGGTATAATAGTGGGTATCAATCAATGGAAAATGAGGAAGCTCATTTATCTATTCATCGACTTGGATCAATAGATAATACATTTATGACTGATGTATTCTTCATCAATTCGAATTGACAAAAAAACATGGTGTGTGTCAACGCTTTTTGAAGGATTTTATCATAGAGTTTTCTGAATATATTATTGGCAGGGAGAAATTATTTCTAAGGTGATGGTGAACATTCACTGAAAATAGGTACAGTACTTGAAAATTTTTCCGAACTCACCAAAATATCTTGTAGTAACAAATGAACAAAATACTGCTTCTCAAAGAATTTCCTAATTAAGCGACGAATAAATGATAAATCTATTCCTGAAAGCTAGAGGATTTCATCTATATATTAAATGAAATGAAAAGCAGTTTGTGAGTCCCACATACAAACATCTGGCACGATCTTCAATAGGACTGTTCAGCTCCTCGCTTTTGCCGACGATATAGACATTATTGGGCGTTCTCGGCAAGCTGTTGCACAATAATTTATGGATCTGGAGGCTGCAGTGAGGAAACTAGGCCTGACTGTCAACGAGGAAAAAACGAAATTCTTGGTAATTCAGAAGACCCCAGGACATGGCACTAGGGTGAGTTTTGGACCCTTCAGGTTTGAACAGGTATCAGAATTCACATACCTGGGCTTACAGATCAATGTTGATAACCGGATGGATACAGAGACAAATAAGAGGATTTTGCTGGCTAACTCTTGCTATTATGGTATGAGTCAACACATGGAAAGCACCCTAGTGACTGAGCGTAGCAAAGTATTCCTCTACAAGACTCTTATCAGACCAGTTCTAAGTTATGCATCAGAGACCTGGACGATAACCAAGGCAGCCGACCAGAACCTCCTAATATTTGAACAAAAAATTCTAAGAAGAATTTATGGTCCAGTGTGCGTGAATGAAGAGTAGAGAAGGAGGAAAAATAAGGAGATCTACCAGCATTTTAAGGAGGCCAATATTGTCAGTTTTATAAGAGCGGGTCTCAGATGGGCAAGTTATATGGCCAGAATAAGAGACAACATGATCACAAAGAAGGTGTAGGTTGAAATCCTGCATGGAGCGCGACGGGTATGAAGACCAAAGTTAAGATGGAGGGACAGTGTGGACAAAGATGCCAGGAAACTAGGAGTTCAAGACTGGATGATGGCAGCACAATGCAGGGACACCTGACAGATGCTGTTGGCGGAGGCCATGACTCGCTAAGCGGGTTGTAGAGCCAGTATAGATAGATAGATTAAATGAAATATTACAAAAAGACATTCCTTTTTTTAAAGAATTAAAACAAAGTCAGGTTTTAAGATTAAAAAAATAAATAAATAAAAATATCTGTTCTTGAAAAATTATCTTTCAATGTTAAAACAAAATTTGGTTAATATGTCCCAGTAAAACATAAATTTTCTGTACCCCCATGTATAAAAAAAAGGTAGTGTGAAAAAAGGTATAGGATCTTAATAACATTTTATTTTAGAAAACAAAAAATGTGATTGTTTTAACAATACCTATATTAGAATTTACCAATGTTTAATAATTAAGTTAATACAGACAGAAGTTCCAGGACCAAAGCCTCATAGGGGCCCACTCTATCCGACTAGATTTTATTTTTTAACTAATATATATTTTCAAAGAAAACATCATATATCTACATATATATAACACTACAATTATGGAGACAATAATTTTTTGTAGCATATATGGGTTTAAGTAGAAAATATAGTATTTGCTGGCCTAAAAAAATTTTACCATCAGGCCCAGGTTACTCTCCAGGACACTGAGTTTAATATATTGTAGTGTATTTCTAAAGATTATTATATAGTGTATTCTAAAGAAGAAAACATTATATATCTACATATATATGACACTACAATTATGGAGACAATAATTTTTTATAGCATATATGGATTTAAGTAGAAAATATAGTATTTGCTGGCCTAAAAAAATTTTCCCATCGGGCCCAGGTTACTCTCCAGGACACTGAGTTTAATATATAGTAGTGTATTTCTAAAGATTATTATATAGTGTATTCTAAAGAAGAAAACATTATATATCTACATATATATTACACAACAAGTATGGAGACAATAATTTTTTGTAGCATACATGGATTTAAGTAGAAAATTTAATATTTGATGGCCTAAAAGATTTGACCATCAGGCTCAGGTTACTCTCCAGGACACTGAATTAATATATTGTAGTGTATTTTTAAAGATTATTATACAGTGTATTCTAAAGAAGAAAACGTTATATATCAACATATATATTCACAACAATTATGGAGACAATAATTTTTTGAAGCATACATGGATTTAAGCAGAAAAATTAATATTTGAGGACATAAAAAAATTTGTGCATACGGTCCTGGATTCTCTCCAGGACACTGAGTTGATATTGTAGTGTATATCCTGAAACTTGAGAATTATATTGATTCCTCACTACCCAAGGTAGGGAAGCATTGTATTCGTGTGAGAAGTTAAAAAAAAAATATGTGCTGAGAATCGAAAATTTCCATTCACATTTTACGTTTCAGACATCAAGGATCAAATTTGGTTCGGTGTCTGTCTGTCTGTAGTCAAATCGATGTATCGGACATATCACCTACTACCGCTTATCCGAATTTCATTAAATTCTAACCAGCACTTCCGCTTACGTATGCGCAAACGCATTTTCGTAGATATGCGAATATTTCAGAATTGGCTCTTTCGATTGACTCAAAGTTGAATAAAAAATACTGATTTGTGAAAAAATAATGTAGGGTCAATTTTATTGAATTCTATTCATTGCTTTCTTTTATATATGCGCAAATGTGTTTTCCTTGATATGTCGATATCTCTAAAACCGCAAATTTGATTTGACTCAAATTTGGAGGGAATTTAGGGATTGGTAAACGTTAAAGGAAATAGGCATAAATTTTATCAGATTCTATATAATACTCCAAAATAAAGTTCTTCCGCTTTCAGATCAGGTGTGTTATTTGATTACTATAGTTGCCTATAGTTTGAAAACGGTGCATACGATTTGACTAGTGTTGCCCAACACTAGATTTGACCCAAAGTTGGAGGAAATTTGGAGAACAGTATAGAAATTACTTAGTATCAATTTCATTGAATTCCATTTAATAATTAAAATTATTATAAATAATTGTTAAAATATATAATGGCTGTGAAATGTGGAAAGCTCTGATCGTATGGAGTGGGGGTAAGTTTATTAAAATATTGTTATGGGGTTATAACATTTTAGGTTTTAATAAAAAAATTAATTTATACTGTATTGTTTGGCCGATTCCAAAAATTACTTTCATGACACTTACTGCGGTCACTTAAATTTCGTGTAAATCAAAGTAATTTTTACTCTGAATTTGTAAAAAACAAAAAATGTTTTATTTGTGATTGTGTTTATTTCCATTGAAGTTAAACCAGCTCGTGGTGGTCTCGATTATGAATATCAAAATTGTGTCAACTTCACTCATATTTTTATATTTCAACTTAATTAGTTTTGTTCTGTCTGAATAAAAGTATTGATCTTTTTAACTCCGAACAAAGAAAAAGTGTAATTTTTCTTTTGGATTTTTTGTTCCATCCATTTTACGAGTGAAAACATAATACATAAGTATATATCACTACTGTTAGTGATAAGGTCTTATGTAAAAGTTTTCAGTTTTTATTCTATTTTTGACATTATGTAGTCTGCAATTGACATAGTCTACTACTATGAAAAATAGTAGAGGGCAATAAAATATAAAATTATACTAATAATTTTTGTTTTTTTGTTTTTTTCAACAACTTAAGGAGTCATATTCCCAACACCCAAATGCCACTGCTCCCTGTCCATCCAATCTCCTTCACGGAGCCCTCTGGCTGCCATGCTTTCCACTACGTCCTCTATCTATTTCTTCTGGCCTTCCACGCTTCCTTCTTTCAGGTGGCATATAGTTATAAATTTTCTTTGGCCAGCGGTTCTCATCCATCCGCATTAAGTGGCCATACCACTTTAACCTTTTGGTCCCGATCAGGTGAAGGATGTTCTTCTGACATCCGACCTTGTCTCTAATTGCTGCGTTTGGGATTCGCTTGATTCTAGATATGGCACAGCTTCTTCTCCAGAAATCCATTTCCATGAAAAGCAACTTATTTTCCGCCTTTTTTGTAATTGTCCAAACTTCTGATGCGCAGGTGGCTACGCTTTCTACAAAGGAACGGTAGATCTTCTTTTTAGTTTCCAATCTTATTTCTTTACTCCATAGGGTTGAATTTATCGAACTTATTATTCTTTTCCCATTGTTTATTTCATGTTCGATGTCAACCTCACTACCTCCCTTTAAAGATAGCCAGTATCCGAGATACTTGAACTGTTGGCTGACATTGAGCGTCCAGTCATCAATTTCAATGGGAAATTTGGAGCGTTGAAAGCCATATATTCTGTTTTACTTTTACTGATTTTCAGACCCTAATAAATCATAAAGAATTAATTTGTTTTTATGGTCTCCTGTAAAACACTCAATTTTTACATACGTCATTTGCACTAACAGTAGCGGGACGTGAATCGTACTTAATTTATCAAATTATATCTTTGATTAGGTTGCCGGGCAATGGTGCAGTTGTGCACACGCGTTAGCCCACTCGACCATAGTAAAATTTAGATTGTACTTCTTTTAATATGTCTCGGATTCAGTTGCTTTATTGATAAGCTTTATAATTTTTGATAATTCCTAATGGTGGGCACTCTTTCAGATCAGCACGGGCGGATCTACGGGAGGGAGGAGGGTGCTTTCGGGCTGAAGCCCTCCCCCCTCTCCCAAACTGGTAAAATATAACCATGTTTTAAGGAAAAATATATTAAAAAATTATCTCTTACAGTATTATTGTTCGTGTAATTACATTTTAAAAGACTTAAGGAATCACTTAAACACCATTTGATATAGATAGTTAGTTTCTTTCTTTTTTTCCAAAGTAATTATCGTCATTTTTATGAAAAAAAAAGCCTTCAGGCTGAAGCCCCCTCCAAAATTAAATCCTAAATCCGCTAGTGCACATCAGGGAATTGTACCTGAGTTAGCCCTGAATGCCGGTACTGATAACTAGTGTCAGGGACATTAGAGGAGAATCTAAAAATAGTAGTCTAGGCTAAAGTAATAGCAACAAATAAAGGATTAGGAAACCAATTAAAGATGTCTTATTGCTTATAATAGTAAAGGCATATAAAATAGCTGAGACAGAAACTGAATGTTTTCTGTGGAATGGCTTTTAAGTTCTACAATAAAAAAGATTTATATTTTTGAAACCTGCAAAACTTTTCTCAATTCTTCTTCATGTGACAATTTTTCTTCAACTATTTGTTTTTTCAACTCTTCTTTTTCTTGAATAAGGATTGCTTCTTGTTTATGATATTCTTCTTGGGCTATTTTCAGTGCTACCATGTTTTCTGCCTAAAATGTGATATTCGCTCTTATCTCTGACTCTGAAGAGCAAAATATAATTGACCTTATACCTTACCTTAATTTCAGTTAGCTTACACTGATGCTCATAAATTAAATGTTTTATTTTTTCATTAAATGCTTTGATTTCAGCTTCATGCTTCTCATCTGCTTCTTCCAATTCCCTTTCTTTATTTCTATAAATTATTTTATAAATTATATTTTAGACATAAGAATTTTAGACTATTTGTAAGCATTCCTAATACTAATATAAATTGGAATTTATAATTTAAAAAAATGACTCGTTTATTCTGATTTATTAATTAATTAACTAACTATTCCTTAAACTAATTTATAAACATTTAGCCATATTCTCATACTTCCTATCTAGTTGGTGGACATGAGTATAGGCACAGACTTCGGGAGAGGAGGAGTGCGATCACATTTCTGGCAAGTTTGAAGCATCGGAGAATTGTGAGTTCATCTCACTGCCTCAAACCTTTAAATAAAAATATGTAGTATATTCAATTGAATTGTTCACCTATTTTCAAATACACTGCCAGACAAAATTAAAGGATCACTTCAAATTTTAATTTTACTTAATTTTAATGAACATAAAGAATTTTAAAAGGATTCTTTATGAATATGATAGAATAGTTTGTCAAAAGAGCTAATAAAGAAAGAAAAAATGTATTTAAAAAAAATATATATATTTAAAAATAAAAGAAAAGAAAAATATAGATTATTGGATAAAATCTTCCTACTGATTTTATTCAATAATCTGTATCTTTTAAAGTGTCCCTCCTCTATCTCTGATCATTGCCAACATTCCCCTGTTAATTCTACTGACCTACTTCCTTACATCATCTTCTGGGATGTTGTTCCACTCTTCCGCTAAAAGTCTTTTTCAATCGCCCAAATTTTGAGGGTCTGGATTGCGGACAGGTCTCCCAACCATTTCTTATACTTGCTCTACGGGTATTATGTTCTAAATTCATGTCCGGATTTCTGGGTGGCCAGACCATAATCTCGATCTCTTCTTGTTGGAAGAACTTTTACACCAGCCGAGCAACATGAGATCAGGCATTGTCTTGCATTAGAATGAATTCGCCCCCTATATTTCTGGCAAAAGATATCACATGTCACTAGCGGATCCAGGATTTAATTTTGGGGAGGGAGGGGTGCTTCAGCCCGAAAACTTATTTTTTTCACAAAAATGACGATAATTTATTTTGGAAAAAAAAGAAAGAAACTAACTATCTATATGAAATGTTGTTTATGTGATTCCTAAAGTCATTTTAAATGTAATAACACGAACAATAATACTTTATGAGATAATGTTTTAATATATTTTTCCATAAAACATGGTTATATTTTATCATTTTGGGGGAAGGGCTTCAGCCTGAAAGCCCCTCCCCCCGTAGATCCGCCCGTGTCACATGTGGCTCTTGCATCTTCCTTTTGTACTTCAAAAGTGTTAAGAGTCCTGGTCTACATGAACCAACTCCGTGGTGCAGTTTAAATATTGTGTCCCCAAACCACCACTGAGACTCCTCCGAAAGCAATTCTTGGAGAAAAATTACAAGGCGTAAACTCTCTCTCCCTGCCTCCTCTGCACTTCCTTTCGCGTCCATTAGGAGACCTTAGGCTGAATCTGGACTGGTCAGTGAATAATACAAGGCTCCAGTCTGCACAAGTCCAGTTTAGGTATTCCTAGGCAAATCTCAAGCGCTGAACTCGGATCTCCCTGGAAAGCAGAGGTTCAGTTGCTGCCACTAGCAGATCCTGGATTTTATTTTAGGGGAAGGGGAGCTTCAGCCCGAAAGCTTTTTTGTCATAAAAATAACGATAATTACTTTGGAAAAAAAAAGAAAGTAACTAATTACCTATATGAAATGGTGTTTAAGTGATTCCTAAAGTCCTTTTAAATATAATTGCACGAACAATAATACTTTAAGAAATAATATTTTTCCATAAAACATGGTACTATTTCACCATTTGGGGGGGGCTTCAGCCCGAAAGCCCCCCCCCCGTTGTAGATCCGCCCGTGGTTGCTGCAGACTAGGACGTCAATTCATATTCGTTAAGTTGTCTTCTCATTGTTCGCTCTGAATTTTGTACGCTCCTGATCTGCTGTAGGAGACAGGACCATTTCTCTAGAATGGTGATCTCGAAAGGCCTGAATTTGTAAAAATCTGTCTTCATGTTGGGAAGTTCATCTTGGACGACCTCGCCTCTTCTTCTGTTATGCACTGCAGTCTCACAATAACTAATAATGGAAATCACAGATTGTGACCACTGGAGCCTTTCTGCAATTCGTATTTGTGAAAAATTTTCTTTCGTTAAAGTAACAACACGGATCGATTCCTATTGGATTAATTTCCTCATGTTTTCCATCAAGATGTCCTAAATTACTTCACAAGCAAAAGCTGGATTAAACTCGTTAAAATGCGTGTACGTTATCAAAACTAATGTAGAACTGTGAGCAAGAGTCTACAAAATAAAAGTTATCTTTTATATCCCAAGGAGTGAATATTGATTACAGTTTGATAATGGATTACACTAATTCCATTCTGGTATCAAAGAAATATTTGTATTTTTCATTTTTAAAAAAATGTACCGAAATTTGTAGGTGATTCTTTAATTTTGTCCAGCAGTGTATGTACTTACGGATATCCGTAAGAAACAAATCTGGCGTGGTGCGCGCATCACACAACGTTCACTTATCACCCTCTTCTCAGCAGAAATAAGTATTTTCAGACAAAGTGAAAGTGAAAGTAAAAATTGTAGACGCTATATTTATTTATATTTCATTGTGGATATTTTTATTTGTATAAGTACAATTATATATACAAATTTTAATATTTATATCGCTGTAATGTATGCAATTAGATATTAAATAATTCCACCAATAGCATACATAATATTGTGAGAGTCCGTATAATATTAAGCTCATGTTAGCCTGTTCTAACATTGGGGCGCGTTGGCATTCCTTTGATTCCTCAATTACAACTATTCTCCGTTACGATCTCTTATTTCTCCATTAGTTAATTATCAAACTCTTTCATATTTTATATTTAACTATGTTTTATATTATAGATTAATGTAAAATCGTTAATTATTTCAAATAAAAAAAAAAAATGAAATGCACTTTATGGGAAGCTAATATTGAAAATTAGCCTTTTAAGTCCTGTGAGAACATCGATTAGAATAAAATCTACATTTTATTTAAAACTGCTTAATTTTACATTGATATTATGAATTTAATCAAAATCATTAGAGCCGTCTCGAGAAAGTCGTAAAAATGTGTTACATCGATGATATTAAGAGCCACTCCCGGTTAGCCGATTTTTTAGACCCTGTTCAAACATTTACGATAAGTATCAGCATGGTCCTCATCAATATCTAGGTCACAAAAATCAGTGAACTTGCCCCATTATCCAAGGTGCATAAGGGACTTGATCAGAGCAAAGAGATGAGCTCGTGAGATATGGCAGAATAATAGACTTCCTTCAGACAGACAAACTTTTAAAAGACTGAATAAAGAACTTAAAAAACATATTCAAAAGTACAAATTACGACAATTTTATTAACAATCTTTCAATGGACGATGGAAGTTTGTGGAGACACACAAGAAATCTTTTAAAGCATCGTGAGGTGTCAGTACCCAGTTCTCCCACAACTAGCTATCTCCCCCCACTCCTTAGCTGTGTTTAGTCGTTCAAAAGTCCTCTTTAAATGGTTTTAACAAAAGAAAACTATTCTTATTTAAAGTAAATTTTATCTAGTTTACAGTGAAGCTTTCTTTAATTACTTAAATTAAATAGTTTTTTTGTTATCACTTCCTATTCAACAAAAAACGTGACTTACATAAAAAATCACAAAATATTAATTCCCTACTTTCCTGCTAAAAATCGAACCATTGTTTATATAAACTTTTTTTTATTTATTGAGTTTTGCTATCACTCCTTTAAATATTTCCCTCTGCTTACGAGACACGCTGTGTATGGGTTTACACATGTAAAAAACTGAGTTGCTATCACGGGTCACCAAGAGAAACTTTTTACAGCCAAAAATTCCAGATTTATCTGATTTTTTTCTCTTGTATTACTACTAAACCGTGCATCAAAGCGAAAAACGTAGTCTTTAAGAAATAAAAAAAAAACGTCAAATTCTGAACGAGTACCAAAACTTAATAACTTGATTAAGTGATATGGTCGATAACCACGGTCCATAAAAGGTAATTTTTACCGACATTGTAAAAATCTGAGAAAGATTACTTTAAATGGCCCTGCAGCTTGAAAATGAGTTCTTTAAGAAAATAAAAAAATAGAATAATTTCCGATTCCGATCATAATTAGAGACCAAATAATTAGTACATTCTTTCATGAAAACGTTCCCAACAGCAGCTATTTTAATAAAAGAACAACACTTTCTAATGAGAAATATACTAATTATTATCTTGACCAGTTTTATGAATAGCATGGATTCTTCAAATTTTCCTCCATCGTGTATTTCACCTGCGAGACTCAGTTTGGAATCAAGAGGAACAAACGGCGGAAGGAGCACACAAGCATTCGCATCTCACGACGGCCCAAAAACTACATCACTCTTTTCTTTAAATAGGTGTTTTTCTAGATCTTTTTTTTTCGAAATTATTTTTCTAACATCCAGAGGGGGACGTCCTCTGGCAGAAATCACTAGTGCTGGTCACGATAATAACTTTTTTTTATATTACATTAGAAAATTTGTCTATGAGGATTTTCCTACCACATTTTTTCCTATATTTATCTTTTCTTTAAATAGGTGTTTTTTGGAATTTTTTTTTTACCATCCAAGGGAGGGCGCGCTCTTTGGCAGAATTCGCTAGCAATGGTCACGGATAGTAATTTTTTTTTATATTACATTAGGAAATTCGTGTATGAGGATGGATTTTGCCTACATTTCTCTTTTCTTTAAATAGGTGTTTTTGTCTCTTTTTTCGATATTTTTTTCCACCATCCATGGGAGGGCCCGCCCCTTGGCTGAATTCGATAGTGTTGGTCACGATAATATTTTTTTTTTAATTTCGTCTATGAGGATGAATTTGCCCTACATCTCTCTTTTCTTTAAATAGCTGCTTTTTGGAACTTTTTTGGATTTTTTTTAGCCTTCAGGGAGGGAGGGGGGCGCGCGACCCCGACTGGATCCGCTAGTG